GAAATGCTACTGATTTTTTATGTTGATTTTGTATCCTGCAACTTTAATAAATTTGTTTAGCAGTTCCTTTTTTTTTTGCAATAGAATATGCATAAATTACATGCAATGTGTGTTCTTTTTTTAAAATATATTTTATTGCACTTTAGGTTCTGGGGTACATGTGCAACACCACATATTCTCACTCATAGGTGGGTGTTGAACAATGAGAACACATCGACACAGGGAGGGGAGCATCACACTCTGGGGTCTGTTGTGGGGGGACTAGGGAAGGGACAGCGGGAGGGTAGGGAGGGTGGAGAGGGATAATAAAGGGAGAAATGCCAGATATAGGTGACGGGGGGATGGAGGCAGCAAACCACACTGCCATGTATGTACCTATGCAATAATCCTGCATGTTTTGCACACGTACCACAGAACCTAAAGTGCAATAAAATATATTTTTAAAAAAAGAACACACATTGCATGTACATACAGTAGCATTTCTGTATGTCAACAACAAATGATCTTTAAAAGAAATCAAGAAAGTAATCCCATTTACAACAGGTACAAATAAAATTAAGTACCAATGAATTAACCAAAGAAGTGACAGATCTCTACAATGAAAACTATAAAATGTAAAAAAATTAAAGAGGACACACATGCAAAAAACGAACAGATATTCCATGTTCATGGATTGGAAGAATTAATACTGTTAAAATGTCCACACTACCCAAAGCAATCTACAGATTCAATGCAATCCCTATTAAAAAAAAAACAATAAAATACTTCACAGAAACAGAAAAAAAAATCCTAAAATGTATATGAAGCCACAAAAGACCCAGAATAGCCAAAGCAATGCTGAGCAAAAAGAAAACCAGCAGAATCACATCACCTGACTTCAACTTATACTACAGAGCTTTAGTAACCAAAATAGCATGGCACTAGCATAAAAACAGACACATAGTACAATGGAAAAGAATAAAGAATCCAGAAACAAATCTATACATATACGGTGAACTCATTTTCGACAAAGGTGCCAAGAACACACATTGGAGAAAGGACAATCTCTTCAGTAAGTGGTACTGAAAAAACTGTGTATACCCATGCAGAAGAACAAAACTTGACCCATTTCTCACCATATACTAAAATCAAATAAAAATGGATTAAAGGCTTAAATCTAAAACCTCAACCTATGAAACTACTGAAAGAAAACACTGGGGAAAGTCTCCAAGACACTGGACTGGGGAAAGATTTCTTGAATACCCCACAAGCACAGGCAACCAGAGCAAACTGGACAAATGGGATCACATCAAGTTAAAAATCTGCACAGCAAAGCAAACAATCAACAAAATGAAGACATCCCCAAGAATGGGAAAAAAAATTTCCTATAACTCTATAGGGAAAAAAATCTAATAATCCAATTAAGAAATGGGCCAAAGATCTGAATAGACATTTCTCAAAAGAAGACATGCAAATGGCAAACAGGCATACAAAAAGGTGCTCAACATCACTGATCATCAGAGAAATGCAAATCAAAACTGCAATGAGATACCATCTCACCCCAATTAAAATGGCTTTTATCCAAAAGACAAGCAATAATAAATGCTGGCAAGGATGTGGAGAAAAGGGAACCCTCATATGCTATTGGTGGGAATGTAAATTAGTACATCCACTATGGAGAATAGTTTGGAGGTTCCTCCCTCAAAAACTAAAAACGTAACTACCATATGATCCAGCAATCCCACTGCTAGGTATATACCCAGAATAAAGAAAATCAGTATATTCAAGAGATGTCTGCACTCCCACATTTGTTGCAGCACTGTTTACAATGGCCGAGATTTAAAGGCAACCCAAGTCTATGTCAATAGATGAATGATAGTGAAAATGTGATACACACACACACACACACACACACACACACACACACACTGGAGTACTATACAGTCATTAAAAAGAGACTTTGTCATCTGTAACAACATGGAGGGAACTGGAAGTCATTATGTTAAGTCGAAGCCAGGCACAGAAGGACAAACTTTGCATCCTCTCATTTATTTGTGAAAGCTGAAAATTAAAATCATTGAAATCATGGAGATAGAGAGTACAAAGATAGTTACCAGAGGCTAAGAAGAATAGTGAGGGGCAGATAGTTAATGGGTACCAAAAAAGTTAGAAAGACTGAATAAGATCTAGTATTTGATAACACAACAGGTTGACTATAGTCAATAATAATTTCAGTATACATTTAAAAATAACTAAGAGAGCATAATTAGACTGTTTATAAGAGAAAGAATAAATGTTTGAAGTGAGGAATACCTCATTTACCTGGACAAATATTACACATTGTAGACTTATATCAAAATGTGCTACATACTCCATAAATACATACACCTACTTTGCATTCACAGAAATCAAAAATATTTTTAAATCAGATGATAGTAATAAGTAAGAAAAACTGTGCAAACTCAAAGAGGATAAAAGACCCAAATGTAAAATTTAAAGCTATAAAACTCTTAGAAGAAAGCACAGGACAAAAGTTTCACAACACTGGATCTAGCATAAGACACCAAAGGCACAGGCAACAACAAAAATAGACAAATTGGACTTCATAAAAACTTTTTAAAATTGTACATCAAAAGAACACTATCTTAGCCAGGTATGGTAGTGCACACCTAGAGTCCCAGCTACTCAAGAGGCTCAGGTGGGAGGACTGCTTGAGCCCAGGAAGCAGAGGTTGCAGTGAGCCAAGATCACACCACTGCATATCAGCCTGGGCGACAGAATGAGACCCTGTCTCAAAAAAAAGAGACTATCAACAGAATTGGAAAGTAACCCAATAAATGGGAGAAAATAGTTAGAAATCATATATTTGATAAGGGGTTGATATCCAGAATAGATACAGAACTCTTAAAACTCAACAACAAAAAACAATCCAATTCAAAAATGGACAAAAGACTTGAATAGATATTTCTACAATGAAGCTATAGAAATAACCAAACTAACCACATAAAAAGATGCTCAACATCACTAATCATTAGGGAAGTGCAAATCAAAACTACAATGAGATACCATCTTCATATAATAGGATGGCTACTATTTAAAAAAAGAACAGACAATAGTGTTGGCAAAAATGTGGAGAAATTGTACACTGTTGGTGGAAATGTAAAATGGTACAGTTGCTGTGGAAAACACTATGGTAGTTCCTCAAAAAATCAAAAATGTAGATTTGATTTTTTATAAGATCCAGCAATTGTACTTCTGAGTATATACACAAAAGTTTTGAAACCAGGATCTCTAAGAGGTATTTGTATACCTGTGTTCAAATAGCTCTTTGAACACAGAGAGTTTTTTGCCTTTACGTTTTAGCATTCACAATAGCTAAAACATGAAGGCAACCCAAGCGTCTTTCAACAGATGAAAGGATAAGCAAAATGCTGTATATCTATATAGCAGAATAATATTCATCCTTAAAAAGGAAGAAAATTCTACATTATGCTACAACATGGATGCACCTTGAGGACATTAAACTAAGTGATGTAAGGCATCACAAAATGATAAATACTGTATGATTCCACTTATACAAGGTACTTAGAGTAGTCAATATCATAAAGACAGAAAGTAGAATGGTGGTTGACAGGAACTAGAGGGAGAAAAAGGGAGTTGTTATTTAAGAGGAAAAAGTTTAAGTTTTACAAGATGAAAATAACTAAGATGGATGGTAGAGATGGTTGCACAACAATGTGAAAGTACTTAATGCCACTGACCTGTACACTTAAAAATGATTAAGATGATAAATTTTATGTTATGCATATTTTACCACAATTTTATAAAAGCTTTCAGAGACAAGCATTTCAAGAAGGAATAAATATTAAAAACTATTAAAAGTTGCTTAGAATCAAAGAAGATGAAAAGAGGTGATTTAGATCTGAGGATTATTGCTCTCTAGTGACTTTCAACAAAGTAGTTTCAGTAGAGTGATGGGGCAGAAGCTAGGTTATATTGGGCTGACTACATATGAGATCCGAGAATATGACGGACACAAATACTTATCAATAGTAAAACTAATAAGAGCTAACATTTATTGAATGCCTACTCTCAGATAATGTTCTCAATATTTTAAATGCACTACCTTAACAGAAACTTACAATTCTTTGAGGCAAATGATTCCCATTTTACCACTGAAGATCTGAGACTCAGAAAGATTATTAAAGTACAGTAGTCCCCCCGTATTCGAGGTTTCACTTACCTTAGTTTCAATTACACATGGTCAACCACAGTCCAAAAATATAAGTGGAAAATTCCAGAAGCAAATAATTATTATGTTTTAAACTGCACACCATTCTGAGTATCATGTAGTATATCCACACCATATAGGGTACCCACCCATTAGTAACCTAGTAGTCAATTCAGTTACCAGATCAACTGTCACAGTATTGCAGTGCTTATATCCAAGTAACCATTATTTTACTCAATAATGGCCTCAAAGTACAAGAGTTATGATTCTGGCATATTATTTTAATTGTTCTATTTTATTATTAATTGTTGTTAATCTCCTGCTATAGCTAATTTATTAAACTTTATCATAGGTATGTACATATAGAAAAAAATCACAGTATTAATATGGAGTTCAGTATCATCTGTGGTTTCAGGCATCCACTGGGGGTCTTGGAATGTACCCCTGTGGACAATGGGGAGACTACCTGTACCTTGCCCAAGTATTCTCAAGTATTGCTCATTCTATAATCCATGCTTCTTCAAGAAAGACAACAAATAGCCCACTAATTTGGAATGCCCTCTTACTTTCTAAAATTTATCTTTTATTTTGGGCCTCTCAATTTTCCAGTATTTCCGCTTTCATTTCCAAGACTTTCTATACCATTAGATTTGTACATCAGGTGGACCCTAGCCTCTGAAATGACACCACTCCCCACCTTCCAATGATTTTTACCTCTACAATATTCTACTGTAAAGGTTAGCCTTATATCTATAGAATACTGTAGAAATAACAGAGTATGACTTCCAAGGCTAGGTCATAAAAGATACTGTGGTGTTCATCTAGTTCTCTCTTAGTTCATCCACTCTGGGGTAAGCCAGCCATGAATAAATTCAAGTGGCCCGAAGTAGAGGTCCAAGTGGTGAAGAACTGAGGCCTTTTCAAAAGCCAGCACAAATCTGCAAACCATTCGAGTGAGTCAGCCTAGAATTGGATCCTCCAGCCCAGTCAAGCCTTGAGATGACTATAGACCCAGCTAACAACTTGACTGCAACCTCACAAAATACCAAGCCAGAATTACCCAGGTAAGCAGCTCTGAAACTCATGCTACACAGAAACTGTGTGAGACAATAAATGTTTATTATTGTTTTAAGCCACTGAGTTTTGAGGTAATTTGCTATCCAGTAGTAGATAATTCATACATCAGGTTAGATTTGAAATACATTTTATACCACAAAATGTACATGTTATTACATCACATACAACATCTTTGGTTTGTCTTGATCAAAGCAGCTGAAATCTTTATTTCTTATAAAGGTAAAAAGTATAGAAAGGAAAATTATTACAATTTCAAGTAACTGATTTACTTAACAATAATAAAATAACATTCCCATATGTCAAAGCTACCAACACTGTAATTTAACTTCCACTAAATGCTCTTGAAAAGTCACACAGACACACTCCTGGGCTGGAGGCTGGAGCAGATCTGACAGAAGACTAAGTCGTCATCTTCTTTGTCTACCGATCCTATTCTGATGATAAAATAAGGCTGATGATTATCAAAATGCTCTCTTCTAATAAATAAATCTATATAGCTCATTCTTATATTATTGTGATAATAGCTATAAATTCTCTGAAGGCAGAGAACACTGTCACTTCTACTTTTATAGGCCACATGATCTAGTACAGTTCAAAATATGTTTGTAAACTGCACAGGCTTTATATTGCAAGATCTAAATGTCTAAAATAGCACATCGGTTAATTTAAGTGTCAGCTATTGTTATTTTTACTGAATTATTTTATAGCATTTCCAGTTTCATGAAATGTCAATATGCAAAGTCCTTTCTCATTTGTAGAACCAAAAGGTTCTACAATGTTATTTCCTATATGGTTATAAACACAGTTTCTAATCTGTGGGTCCCAGATCACTTCATGGCTCCAATTTAAATACTGCAACCCCTTAATAAACTAGGCACTATCTGTAGGCTGATACACTACAAATACACTATTGTAGTTCAAAATCTAAAAAGATATTAGTTCTAACAAAATACTATTGTATTTTATCAATTCTAAGATACCATTAATGATTAAGAGGCACCATTACTTTATGAACCAATAAAAAAGAAAAACATTACCAATTCAACTGTGACATCTCTAAGATGCATCCCAATGTGAAAGATGTTCAAATGTGGAACAGCGGATACTAACAGCATCTTAGACCTTAACAGTGTTGTTTAAGAAATGGATTCTGGCTGGGTGGTGGCTCATGCCTGTAATCCCAGTACTTCGGGAGGCCAAGGCGGGTGGATCATGAGGTCAGGAGATCGAGACCATCTGGGCTAACACAGTGAAACCCTGTCTCTACTAAAAACACAAAAAATTAGCCAGGCGTGGTGGCACTCGTCTGTAATCCCAGCTACTTGGGGAGTTGAGGCAGGAGAATCACATGAATGGAGGTTGCAGTGAGCTGAGATCATGCTAGATCACCTGAGGTCAGGAGTTTGAGACGAGCCTGGCCAACATGGTGAAAGCCCAACTCTACTAAAAATACAAAAATTAACCAGGCGTGGTGGCTCACACCTATAATCCTGGCTACTCGGGAGACTGAGGCAGGAGAATCGCTTAAACCCAGGAGGCAAAAGCTGCAGCCAGCTAAGATGTCACCACTGCACTCCAGCCTGGGCGACAAGAGCAAAACTCCATCTCAAAAAAAAAAAAGAAAGAAAGAAACAGATTCCAAATGTCCAGCTACCATCATTCAGTTTCCACGAAAACTTTATGATATCAGAAAGGGATCTTGTTATGCAAAAAAGACTGAGTACCAATACCTTAAAATAAATGTCTGTTGATTTTAAAAAGAAAAAAAAAGTTATTTCTATGGCTTTTTTTTTTTTTTTTAAGACGGAGTTTCACTCTTGTTACCTAGGCTGGAGTGCAATGGCGCAATCTCGGCTCACTGCAACCTCCGCCTCCTGGATTCAGGCAATTCTCCTGCCTCAGCCTTCCGAGTAGCTGGGATTACAGGCACGCACCACCATGCCCAGCTAAGTTTTGTATTTTTAGTAGAGACGGGGTTTCACCATGTTGACCAGGATGGTCTCGATCTCTTGACCTCGTGATCCACCCACCTCGGCCTCCCAAAGTGCTGGGAATACAGGCATGAGCCACCGTGCCCAGCCCTCTATGGCTTATTTTTAATGATGACAGAAATTAACAGCTACAATTTATCAGAAAGTATATTCTACAGGCCAGGCCCTTGCAGCACTTTCAAATATTATATCTAATTCTCACAACTTTGCAAAGTAAATATTACATCCCCTTTATAGACAAGAAAACTAAGATTCTGAGAGATAAAATCACTGTTTAAAGGTCTCACAGATAATAAACGAAAAAGAGAGCTAAATTGCAACGAATTTAATTTCAGCTATTTTCTCTACTGCCTTCAGATATGAATAGATCTCATGTATCCTCAAAGAACCCCTTCTCATTCCTAAAGATTTTATCTTATCTTCCTCACTCTTGTTACTGGAGATATCAATGAAAATGAAGATTAAGGATAGGCCTTTGGAAATGACAAAAGGACCTCATAGTGAATTCCGAATATAAATTGTTTTTCGATAACTTTTTTCCAAGTTTTAAGAGATAAAACCTCTTAACATTGAGACAACAAATGTGTACTTTCCATTTGAGAAATTTAGCCAGTAACTGTACTAATACAGGTGATCAAATAACTCTATTTAAATTAATCAAGAAGTGTATGTGGCGGGAGCAGGCACAGTGCTATCCACCTGTAGTCCCAGCTACTCAGGAAGCTGAGGCAGGAGAATTCCTAGAGCCCAAGAGTTCAGTGAGCTATGACCGTGCCACTGCACTCCAGCCTGGGCAACAAAGCAAAACACCTGTCTCTAAGAAAGAAAAAAAAAAGTTGGGGGTGGGGGGTGGTGGTGGTGGTGGAAGATATTCCAGTAAAAAGTGACAGACTGACTACATACATTTATCTTCTTTCCTTCCCCAAACCCTACTCAAATGACAATCTAGGAATTTTTTTAAAAGTATAGAACTCCAAGAATAAAAAGCATGGGAAAGGCGACAGCAGCAGATAAGAGGTTTAATAAGTTTTTAGAAGACAGAAAACAGAGAGAGTAGTAAACTGACAGCACACAAAATGAAAAACCTGAAACACCTTCAAAAAGGGATACAAAGAGAAAGCAAGCCATTTGTCCCCTAAACTCCAGAAGTGTTCAGAAAGTGGAAGTATCAGGTACTTAAGGTAGATTTAAGGAGATAGGGCTAAATGCAGAAAGATTGGTTGAATAAGCAGTTAACAGGTCCAGTCTCACTCAACTCCCATCTCTACCACCATATCCTCCATCCTCACTACCCTACAGCCAGGAGCCAGCAGTTAATTAAAGGATGGGGGAAGGACTCAGGGATACCACTCCAGACTCAGCAGAAGGCAGACGTGAGAAACACAGACTGAAAACAAGTCTACATACTAAATAGTAGGATCTCCAGCCCCCTTCCTTCATCTAACTCCATAACATCCACAACTAGGAGTATGTTTACTTAAAAAGTCTAACTGCAGGAAAACTAGGATATTGGCTTTGTTCCAAATATTCATGATTTAAAGAATGACAAATGAATTACAGATTGTCCACAACATAGAGCATTTGCATATATCCAAGAGTGATCTCTAAAGTTAAGCACTTAATATTTAGTTATGCATTTTTAATTCTTTAATCAAAGTACTAAATGGTCATTAGTTTGCACTAGAAAATGCTCTTGGGGATTAGTTTCACAAACAAGGATTTATACTCCTCCCACAAACACATGAACACTGTGAGAAATACAATGTAATTTTCAGGAACCCAATGCATAAGGCCCCCCAAAAGATGCTAACAGCAAAAAATACATATATAAACTAAATAACAAATAGCCAAAAGACAAATCTCACTGTTACAAATTATTGGAGATAAAAGGAACAGATGTAATCAGGCTAGTAATTAGAATCGTCTCAGGAATTTATAGAAAACAATTTTAAAAAATCAGATTTCTGGCTGGTGCAGTGGCTTACACGTGTATCACAGCACTTTGGGAGACCGAGGTGGGTGGATCACCTGAAGTCGAGTCCAAGACCAGCCTGCCTAACATGGTGAAACCCCATCTCTACTAAAAACACAAAAATTTGCCGAGTGTGGTGGTGTGTAACTGTAATCCCAGCTACTCAGGAGGCTGAGGCAGGAGAATCGCTTGAACCTGTGAGGTAGAGGTTGCAGTGACCCAAAATTATCCCACTGCACTCCAGATTCCTCAAGAAAAGAAAAAGTCAGATTTCTCAGGTTTGAACCCCCAGAAATTCTACTTTCTATAGATATTTGGTGGGATGCACATATTTGCATTTCTGTATTTTTAGAAGCAGCCCAGGTAATTCTGCTGCACAGCAGTGAACAAATCTCTGAAAAACACTATCCTACATTTCAGAAATGACAGACCCTCATTTAGGGCAACTAAACAGGCACTGCCATTTAATGGCAGAGAAAGACCTAGAACCTTAACTTCCGCTGCTACAAATTCTTGGGAAATCCCAAAATGAGAGATAACAATATATACACACAAATACATAAACAAACACATATACATACATACATCAGTGAAAGGACACTGAATTAGCATAATTTGTCCTTTTTGCTGTGATTTTAAGTAGTGAAAGTTTTAGAGCTGAGCAATAGCCACTACTCATATGTTGCCCCTCAAAAGTAAAATGTTTTACTTTTAGCAAACTAAAATTAAATATTCAGGTCCTCGGTCTATCCAGGCAAATTTCAAATGCTAAACAACCACACCTGACTACTGGCCACAATTGGACAATGTAAATATAGAACACCTGCACTGCAGAAAGATCTACTGGCTAATGCTATGTTCCTTTTTCTTTTTCTTTTTCTTTTTTTTTTTGAGACAGAGTTTCATTCTGTTACCCAGGCTGGAGCACAGTGATGGGATCTTAGCTCACTGCAACCTCCACCTCCCAGTTCAAGCGATTCTTGTGCCTCAGCCTCTGGAGTAGCTGGGATTACAGACTTGTGCC